TTGAGCTGATAGGAAGGCAACAGTAACTCAAAGAGCCACTGGCTGCAACCACAGTATGCAGAAGAGAATCTCTGAATGTGCACAACACATGAACTGTGAAGCCGATGGGCTACAGCACCTGGACAAGACCACAAATTCAGTTGGTGCCACTCCTTTCAGCTAAAGGGAATGGCACCAACTTTAATTCACACAAGCTCACCAACAGAAGAAGAATCTGTTGGGCATCACTTTATGACCACAGTGAGGCCGGGGTGGGGGGCGGGTTCATATAAAGTTCATTTATGTTATATGTTTTCATGAAGTTGCCACTTGTAATAAATTGGTATACAAACATTCAGATAAGTGCAGTCGATTAATGGGTATCTACAGGACACCATGGTGATAGCCTACTGGCATAATATAAAAAACAAGCATGTATAGTGGGTTATTGTAACGGATGCTGAGGTAGATCGTAAGATTGGAGCCAGACAGGTAAAACAATCAGTCTAGTAAAAACTTTCCCCTTGGTCCCTTATCATTTTGAGGTGGAGCATTATACTATATTCTACATTTTCTGTATTTCTTTTAAAAAAACAAAACTAGGTTCTGACATTATTAAGTAAGCCTTGGGTGGTGAGTTATTGCTTTCCCCATGCTGCCTGTTAGTAAGTTCCTTCAGTAGCCTGTCCTCCCTTGGTCAAACTCTGTTACACATTACCTTTGAGAATGATGTTATCATCCCCACCATCCCCCACACAGAGCCAGTCTCTGAATGACACTTCCAACCACACAGCCATTCTGTTGGGCTGGCTACTCTTTACAACCACAGGCATTCTGCAGTGTACTATGTTATGCAATCTTTGTGCAAAGTCCATAACAAAAGAGCAGTTCATTTTATAGTAGTCATAACTAGAGATGGACCGATCCGATATCACGTATCGGTATCGGTCCGATACTGACCTAAATTACTGGATCCGATATTGGAGATAAATAAAAAATGTAATCCGATCCATTAAATATCACGAAAGCACCTCACAAAACTTGCGACATGGCGTAACTCAGCACGTTGGAGCAGTATGCGTCGCGTGATAGAGCGGCCGTGGCGCGCGAGACTTGTCTGAACTTATACAAAATGCAGCAAGATATTAAAAAAACAGTTTTATTGATTAAAAACACACTATATCGGATTCATATCAGTATTGGCAGATATCCAAATATATGATATCGGTATCGGACATAAAAAAGTGGTATCGTGCCATCTCTAGTCATAACCCACCTGTACTCAATACCAACCTCTTTTTGTGAGAGTCTGCTTTGTGTGGTAATTTATTGCTTTCCAGTGTGCATATAAACATTATCAAAGGCAAGCAATAAAAAGAAAAAAACAAAAAACAGGTGGCAGAGCAAATTTTAATGATTGATAATACTTGACTGCATCAGAGCGAGGATGATTGTTTCGGGAGTCATTGTGTTAAAAATATCTTTATGTGGTGGATCATGTTTGGGTAGGAGGGATCGTTTTGCCCCACTGGGCCAGCCCTGTGGGCAGCAGATGAGACTTGTGTGTATGTATGTGTGTGCTCTGCTGAGCTGTGAGCAGATGAGCCCCGCCAGGCAGCTTGCTCCAACTGTGGTCTGCACATACTCCAGTCTAAAAGCTTGTCTCTTCTATTTGCTCCAGATGATGCCTTGGATTTAGCTGGCCCACATGAGTGATATGAATAAGGCACTGGACGAGATACACACTTCTCAAAGCCTCGGACAGAAAGCAGAGATTTTTCAGAGTGACAAGGGTAATGTGAGTGGCTTTCCCAGCGCAGAACTCTTCCCGTTGCAAGAGCCTTTAATAACACCAAATAAACAGAAGATCAGCATTAAACTCTGCAGGGGGAACAGGTAGGTCTCATTTTCCTTTATGCTTGACAAGAAGTTTGTTTATAAAATTTAATCAGGCTGGTTTAATTTGCACTAAACCACAAGAAGTGTATTCTACTCTACACTTTACAGTGTAAGCTGCCTTGCACAAGAATAGCACAGTCTTATTTGCAGAAGAGGTAGATCTCTGTTTAAAAGCTGCAATGTGTAGTGCAGTGCAACATTTAATATTAACTTTAAGAGAGATAAGATGATAACATAATAATTGTTAACTATTTTGTACTAAAGAAATGTATGTTAAAATACACCTCATACCATGCAACCATACTGAAATCTAATTTATTCTTACTTTATCATAGCATTTAGTCATTAAAAAAGAACTCTTTGTATGCATGTCTTGTCACATCCTTTAATCTGAACTACTTCAAACAGGTGGGGTGGAGTTATATGTCCTAAGGGTGGTCTCTTTATGGGGGTTTCTTCCTCTTGTGGGGGATATTTCACTCCTTTATGACCTCAAAATGATGTCAACAGTACACATAAGGCTTAGAAATAAACCTTTGAATGTGAGTTTTGGTGATGTGGTGAAAGCAGGCACCCAGTAGTAAAAAAATGTGAATTACGTTTGTTAGAGGAGAATGGAGCCATGCCTTTTGTTTTGGTCAGATCTCCCTATGCCTTCACCCAAGAAATGACTCATTACAATGTTGAAGCATCTGTTATATGACAGATAACATGTGCTTCATACAACTCTTCTGTGAAGCTGTTTTATATTATGGCTGAGTCATCAAAATATGCTTGATCCCTGAAAATTTACACAGTTTTGCTTCATTGAAGTTTGTTTCTGTCTCTTGTTTCTTTGTTTTTGTCCTTCAGGAGCACTAAAGAGAGCGAGGCATCATTCTCTTCCCCTCTTCCTGAGCTTCTCACCTCAACCCTGAACCCTCTTGTTTCTGAATGTTTATTACCATGGACCAAAAGCTGTACATCTCAGGTTAGTGTCATATTGACAGTTTTTGGTCCATGATTATCATGATACAAGACCCGTGTCATGTCCTCTTAGATGTTTTATTTCACGTACTCACTTAATGCTGATTTTTAAGTGGATCAAATGTCAGAAAACAAAATTTCACAACATTTTGTTGAAGCTGAATAATTGAAAAAAATGCAATATTTAGCTTGCTGAAGTCATCTGACCTTAGCACCATATGAATGGTCCAACTGGTTATGTGAGTAAGGAAATTAGTTGCTGTCAGGAGTTAAAAATGCTGTGTCAGCATGCTTAGATAAGCCACAAAGTCTGTGATTTTATGTTTTCAATCTCAGGTTTTTATACCGTAGTATTTGAAAGCAGCAGCCACCACAAAATGGACAATGAGTGTTTTACATCACCTTTAGATTTTTCAGAAGAACTTTTATGGTTTACAATTATCAGGTCTGGAGCCTAACAGCGCTATTGTTTGTTTTAGCACAGGGTGTGTGATTACTTTGCACTGAAAATCAGGAAGTACCTACTGATGCTGAAAAACTCAATAGTTAAAACTTGTGTGTTGGTAGCATAGAATTCTTGACTAGTTTGAAAATGTTGTTAGTCTTATGCAAAGAACCATGGCCTAAAATAATGTAATGTGAAGTGCTGCATTATAGTGCATTAAGTTGTGGATTTAAGTTGTTTTATATAGTGAGCAAGATAGATGTACATAGTTTATTTGCAGCTTATTGTAGGACAGCAGAATTATGCTGGCAGGACTTTTTTTTCTGTCAGTAAAAATCCTTGAAGTATTTTCTGCAATATTAACGTTTATTCCTCTCAGATTTTCCCCCACTTTAGTCTCACAGGCTGTTTGGATGACTACTGAGACTATGTATAGACAATCACCATTTTTTCCCCATAATTAAAGTATTTTTGCCTTATTACCGGTAACACTACAATCATTGTTGCATGCTCCTCACCTTATGAGTTTAGTCACAGATCAGGCTACAACAAATTGTACAGATGCAAGGATTTAATAGCTTATGAAGACTTTCTTTTCTCCTCTTTTTTAGTCAGTTCATACAACTCAGCAGAAAACTTTTTTTTTTATCAAGCAAAGCAAAAATTGATTTGTTGTTGACTATGCATTTTTAAAACTCACTGGCACATTCGGAAACAAGAGCACATTCATTGCTTTGGGAAGCTAGCAATCATTGGTCTGCCTCAAATGTGAAGTGAGTTTGCCTATATATTTTCCAGGGCTGTTAAATTAGTTTGGTTTGCCAACCAAAAGCCCCTATACTCTAAGCTGGAGTTGACTGTTTCTCATTATCATTGTGGTGTGTGTGTGTGTGTGTGTGTGTGTGTGTGTGTGTGTGTGTGTGTGTGTGTGTG